TTTGTCTTTTAAGGTAAAAACGTATGCGGTCTTCCTAAAATACGAACATAACGAATTTCGTTGACAGTTCAAACCCTTTTACTTGTTAACAGCGTCTTTTAATATAAAGTTCTTAAATTATATTGTAAATTCAAAATTCGCGCATCCATGGAGCTTCAGTATGAACCTACTTAACCGCGATTTTCGCTATTTTCGAATGATCGAGTTGATTTAAAAAATTATAAAAATAACCTAATTGCTTTGAAGGAATCCAAAACAATTAAAAAGTGCTTTAAAAGAAGATAAGGTGTTTTTCGAACATATTTATTAGAATAATTATTTAATAATAATGACATTGGGCCCCTTCAAAATTCAAAGGGGCAGAAGATCATAAATAAAAATTAATAAAATTGGAATTAAAGCCTTCATTAAATAGTTTCGTACAATTATTAGGTATTACCCCTATTACTGCAATATAAAAACTATATTTATTAAAAAAATATTTCTTTACAAATGTAATTATACTAATACAGTGTTAAAGGTTTAGTTAACATAATTATTTAAAAAAGTATTTTTAACAAAAATCATACCAACTTTAAAAACATTTATATGAACATGTGTATTATTTAAAATAATTTATTTTTAATATTATAATTATAATAAACGAGGTGCATACTATACTTTTTCTACGACAAATACTTATCATTATCTTAAAATGATTTAAATAAAAAATTTGTATAAAGCACCATCTATGAAACAATAGGGAAATCTGTGTGTCACCGTCAAATGTCAAATTTTTATATTTTATAAATACAATTATAAATATAATATTAATTATAAATCGAAATGTATTTCTTGAAAATTGACAGTTTATTACAGTGAAAGTAAAGAAAATGTTTTATGAGCACTTTACAGTGGAGTCCGTGCCCGAATTATTATAGTTTATTGCCGGCAAAATTAAACACTGTTAATATAAACTTTTCAAATATTGGCGTTGAGAAACTAATTAATACTTTAGTATTTTTGTATTGAGATAATAAAATAATTTTTACATTTAGTATTATTTTACAAGAAAGGCAATTTATTTTAACGATTGTATGACATTTGACCACTGTCAACTAACTTAAAACTAACTTCAGCGCGTGACTAAAAACCCGTTGCTAACGTCAGCCCGTGACTAAGGAGCCATAAAGCCACAACTTGTCAATGTGTATTTAAAAGGTCACTTAGTGTTATGGAAACATGTACGGCGTTTTAAAGGTGAAGTAGAAAAAATATATTATTATAAAAAATTAGATTTTAACAGATTTTACATATATAGAAAAATAAATTTAAAAAAATATAAAATAATCTGGGACGTTTTCCAAGGCAAATATGACTTGAGTGCAATAGTTTTTTCTAATATTCACATCTAATGTATTCTTCTAACATTTTGTGAAACGCACCCCATAGTAAAAATTATTTTAATTGATGAAAATTTATATTCGGTATAGTTTGGCTATAACTTTGTACAAATTGACCTTTCGATAATATTTTCACTAAAACGGATGTATAAAAACAAAGTTCACATGACAGATACTGAAACTGAGCAATTAAAAATATTATAAACAATTACAACATAAACAGTTGGCATTAACAATATGACATAATACAAAAATAAATTTATTTTTAACTTTTATTTATTACCGCACATATAGTGCGAAGCAAATTTTAAATGTTATAAATATTTAAATGTATAAGTTATTACAATTTGTGTTCGGTTCTTATAATTTATTTTAAAGATATTAAGTTTATTTTATATTTGTTCATCTTATTTAATACTCCCTGAAACACTATAAAAGGTAGCAGCTTTAGAAATAAACGTGTTTTTAAGTGTAATTATCTAAAATATTATCTCAAGTATCATGTTTCTGAGATGGGAATTTCTTGAAATGTACATACAGATAAAAGAAATTGGTTTAATAAAAAATAATTAGTTTTAATTTAAGGCCTAAAATTGTGATACATTTGCAATATAGACAATTAAAAATAAATTCAAAAAACGGCTTATTGCACAACGAGCAATTTTTTATTTTTAATTTGGTCCCATATGACTTATTGGATTGACTTTGAACCAATTATTCGAGCCGGTTGGTTTCCCAACCACCAACAGATTCGTACATGCAGTACCGGCTTGAAATTTTTGGTGTATTTTATTATTATTTTGTTCTTTAAAGTGCCCTGGTCAATTGTTATTTTTTTCACTAAAATAATTTTCCTTCAAAAATATCAATATAATACTTTTATTTTGACTTTTTGCATGGGTGATCACAAAATTCATTATTTTTTTTTGACCTATTTTACTATGATAGTTACTTTCTAGGTAAACCTCTTTTTTAGCACCAAATTACTGGACTAATCTTTGAGTAAGGAAAAGAGGGGAGGCATAATCAGAACGTTAAAAATGTGAACCAAAAAATTGCGTCGAAGCATCGAGAAAATTTGTAGGGAAAACGTCAAAACTTAGACCATAAGGGTCAAAACTACAAATGAAAGGGTATACCTTTTTACGCAAAAATACTGTAACAAACTTGGTTATACCTCGAAGCGACTCAATTTTTTGGTTCACTTTCGGCACACTTTACTACGCCTGTGTGGAATAGGCGTTACGCGTCCATTCTTTTTAATTGTCTAAAGGACTATAAACATACATTATTTGTTATATATTTTTATAAAAGCTGACTACACCGTTTGAGCCTGTACTGCTAAAAAATATGGCGGTATCGGCATGCGATTTATAAAACAAAATGCACTTGGTACACAGGTAGGGCAGCTAATTTATAAACTCGTCTCGTCTGTTACGTGAACTCTGATTTCTTGTTATAACGTCGCAGACCGCAGACCGATGATGATGATGCTGCTGGACCCAGCTGATCAGCGCGCTTGAAATTCGCTCGCCAAATCATGGCCAGACGAAATTCGGCAAAAAATTTAAAACGATTCCTCTGAATGAAACTGCCTAGCTATTGTTTTATTCATTCTCGTTTCTGACCGCATTTTTGGGATTTTAATTGAAAATATGTCAGTAGGGATACTGGCGCATTCACTGCGCTTTAGGTACCTTAAGTTTTTTTTATATTTGGACTAAACCAAAGTATTAAAATTAAAATATTCAAAGGTGCCAAAATATAACTTTTTATTATACAAATTTAAGTTGTTTAAATTGCAATTTTGCTACTATATTATTATAACTTTTGAAACATTTATGAATTTTGTATTACTAAGGTATTTTAATACTTTTATCGAAAAGGAACCAAGCGCAAAAAACTTTTTCTGGGGTAAACAAAATTATTTGCAAAATATCTTATTTTTAATCAAAAAATTAATAATGATTTGGGAACCTCTCAATACCTTTTGAGAAAAGTTCCAAATGATGATCAACCTTTTAAGCATTATTAAAAATTATTTTTCAAATAATTTTACTAACCCCAGAAACAGTTTTTGGCGCTTGGTTCCTTTTCGATAAGCCTTATCCATATATCCTAGAAAATTATATTTAAAACCAGTAAATAAATATTTTTATAAATAATTATACAATTTTGTATGAAAGAGCTTTTATAAAGTTTATCTAAGCAATAACTTTTATGGTTTTCATAATTAATTATAAGAGACGAAGATATTATTTTCTTTGATGTACCTACTCAATAAAATAATAAAATTGATAAATTGTTATTGGTTATAAACAATACTTGGTATTAATTAAGGAAACTGTTAACATTTTATAAGATTAAATAATTTTTTATTTCAAAATCATTTAATGTCAACAAAATAATTATTTATCATGTGCTTAAAGTGACAATTTATTTTGTGTGATGGTTTTTTTTACACGATGCCGAAAGGGGATTGTCCCTTCTCTGCAAACGAAAAAAAAGCACTATTAAAAGTACAAATCAGCAAATTTCTTATGACGTATTAAATTTATAAAAAATTATTTTGTAAGCCATTTGTTCATGATGTTTATTGTTGCTAAGGTGTGTTGATCAAGAAAAAAAATTTCTTCGGCGGAAATCAATATATTAAAGTAAAAGTTTGTTTCAAGGGGTAACTTTTTAAGCAGATTTAAAAAAAATGTAATCAGAATTTTTGTGACTTCCATTGTTTTTGCATGATCGCTGCATTTTTTAAATAATATAAAATAACTAAAAGTAGGTATCCTATGGTTTTAAAAAATTTAATAAATAAAGCAATTTCAAAATGTTAATGTTAAAACGTTTTATATTAATTTTACTTTATTTTTTTCGCCTTGTTTTGTTCATTATTAAATAAAAAGGCAAAATAAAAAACGATAAAAAATAGGGTGTTTTTGCTTTGTTCATTATTAGGCAAAAGGCAAAATAACAAACTATAAAAAAGTAGGGTGTTATGTTAATTTTGTTGTTAATTTAATTACTTAATGTCAATATTTAAAAAATGGTGAATGCGCCAGTTAAAAAAATATTTAAGCAAGTTCTTATTTTAAACAGATGTTTGAGAAAATCTTCTTTATTAATTAGTTAATGGTTATACTCGACCCCTATCATATGTTTCCACATAATTAATACTTGTTTGATCAAAATACCGCATATATCAAGTAATAAATAGAGAATAAAATTGTTTAGTAAATATCTAAGTATAAATTACATACATTTATTATTACTGTAGGTATTTCTTATCAGTTTAAATTTTGGAGATTTCGATGCTAGATCTTGTAGACAAAAAAAAACTTATATTTCAGTAAAAAATATATCTTGCAAATTTTGTATAAATTTAAAAATATTTTAAAGTGAAACTATTACATGTTTATTTATAACGTTACCATTGACAAAAACCCTTAAAACAAATAGAACACTTAAAATTAATTTACATGCTTTTGACACATACGAACTGTCAAAAGCCGGTGACAGTTGGCAGAATGGCATTTTTTAGCCGCCAAAGTCGATGACAGCAATGGTGGTTGATTTTAAGGGCGAATTTAAGTGAAAAAAACTTGAAAATTTACTTACCGAAGCTACTGCCGAATGCACAACTATAAAAACGATAAAAACGATTTGGGCAATCGCCCGGCACAGTCCCGGCCGCAGCGTCATAGCCTACTAGCTCCATATTCTTTACTACGAAAATTTCTTGCATTTACCCCCACCACGCTCAGCTCCGTGCTGCGTAGTGTTACGCCGTCTTAAGGATTAATTCAAAATTGTAGTTATTAAGGGTTGTTTTGGGGTGTTTTTTGCATGGTAACTCGAAGATTCCTTATTAAGTTATATATGTACGAAGTTTTGTGCAAATTGTAGGAGTCATTTTGAAGATATAGGGGATTAAGTTGGAGTTACTTTTTGTAGCGTGGGATGCTGGGCAGCCAAGTGCAAGGCTCGTTTGGGTGTCTGAAATGTCTTCTTGCGGACGAATTTAGTAGCGCGCGGTACTCGCGTGTGGACGTTAAAAAGTTTGTAGTGTAGTGCTGCAATTCCCCATTAGGGGAATAAACGGTCGATATGACCGACCATGGACTGCGGTACGTAGTTTTTGTTTCATCTCCAAAAAAATTCTTCATTTTCGAAAAAAATATTTTTTTTTAAATTACAAAAAATCGTCAAAAGTTTAACTCGTGAACATAATTTTTTTTCTCGTCCGTTTTTTTAAGAGCTTAACAAGTTTTTAATTTTTAACCTTTAAAAAGCTTTAAAGAATGTCGAATTACTCAAGCTAAAGCTAAAGTTCTTTCTATAAAAGGAACTATAAAAAAAATTATTAATTTACTTTTAAATTGGGCTCATTAAATACAAATTATAACCTTTTTTTCATAATCCTATCCCAAAACAGCCCATTTATTTTGTTTTTTCATAATTTTCAGCATAATTTCTTTTATATTAGCAATCGTTTTTATAATTATTAAATTTTGGGGTGGGGATTACTCATCAGTGGTGGGGGATGTTTCATAAAGTGGAGGGGGTGTCGTTTATATACTAAAAATTTTGCAGAAAAACGTTGTTAATATTGATACACTGTGTATATATATATATATATATATATATATATATATATATATATATATATGTATTGGTTTGGGTATATTAAGAATTTTATATAGATTCTTCTAAATAATTTAAGCAATTATATTTTTAAAAAAGCTTCCTAATAAATTTAATTAAAAATAACTTTTTCTCAAACCAAAATTTTTATTAGAGTTTAATTAAGTTTGACCTAATTAACAAAAAAGAATCATAAAAAAATGTAAGGATATTTTAATATATTAATTCTTTTATAACATAATTGTAGAAAAATGAATAACTTTTGTGAGTAAACCTAATAAATTAAGAAATACAAATAAAGTTTTATCAAATTTCATGATTTTTACGGTTTTTCTTAAAAAAATGCCAAATAAAAGAGTGAAAGTGAATTTAACTTTTAATTTTAAAATATGTTTGTCTATATAAATTAATTGTTACAAAAGAAAATTGTTAAAGGCCACTTTTACAGGAAAAAGTAAATACAGTGAAATGTTATTTGAAGCTAAAATTTTGGCATGTTCAGCGGCATAAATTAGCCCACTCAACTTTAAGACCAGTAAAGTTTTGTCTGTCGTTTTTTTCAGTATCTGAATTCTTCTTTGTCGGTTATTCTTCAAAGATGCCTGTGGTGTTAAATAAATGACGTAACGTTTTTGCAAACTGTCTGAAATTTACATTTGGTTTCAAAAGCAAACGTTTTTGGTTACTTTTTATTGCCGTTTTTAATTAAAAAACAAATCTAGTCGTAGACTTATTTTATTGCTTTTTATGATTTCTGGTCATATGAAATAGGTTGCAATTATTTCTATAAATAATTTTCTGAATCTTTTAGTTTAAATTACAAAAATGGAATACATCAAAATTTAATATAAAATGTTGCAAATTAACATTTAACATATATTTTGTTACCGAAGAAAAGTATCAAGTTTTCGTTGGTATAATCTATAAATTTGCCATATCTGCTTTTTGTTTACACGTAAACAATGTTGTTTAGTGCTTTTACAAGATATATGCAGAAAAAAATATCCATGCGCGTTTTAATTGGATTAAATTTTAACTTACTTTTATCAATGATTTAAGAAACATTTGGAATTATGTATTAAAACAAAATAAACCACATTTAACCGTTTTGTTTATTTAGTTCGAATTTTAATTTTTTTAAAAGTTTTATTGGATTTTTTTATTTTTCTACTATTAATACTTTAAAATGAATTATATTTCTCTTTTTATTAGAATTGAGGAGGGAGGGAATTTTAAATGACCGTCACGATTTGTTAAGCCTGAGGGGAGGCTTTTTAAAAATGTCACATGCCAAAGTAAATTGAATGAAATTGCAGATTTGTTCAATTTTTAGTCAGATTATTACAAAAAAGAATCGGAAACAATATTTTCAGGGGGTAGGAGGGTTCGATAATTTGTCACATTTATCAGAAAGGCTAAGGGGATCAGTTTTGAACATTTTAGCGTCAGGAGATTTATGGACGGCCCCAAAATTTAAAAAAATAAACCATTACTTCGCCCACTCTTAGCAGGGCCACGAAATTACATATTTTTTGTCCAGTCGTTTTATAAAAAAAAATAATATAATAATTTTTTGGTCTTTATATAAAAATATAAATTTAAATATGTGAATACAAATTGTATTGTCAAGGAGAGATAAAGATTGCTATGGATTGGAGTTTTGTAAATGACACTTTTTGTAACTACTTGTATACTTTTTAAACCAGGAGCCAAAACAAAACCAACTAAACAAATACTTTTCCACTTTTATATCCTATTTTTATTGATTACAATTTGAATAAATAGTGATACACAGTGCTAAATTTTTTTAACGAAGATAAAACAAATAAAGTTGTCATTTTTCTCTATTACGCACTGATTTATCACAAATCGATTTTTAACTGGATGGGACAAAAATAAAAAATATACTTAAAAAAAGAATTATTTGCACACTTTAAAAATCATTTTTTGTTTAAAACATCTTTATATATAGGTAAAAATATATTCACAATGCGAGCATGGTGCGCGCAGACGTGTGAGGTTTTTATACAGTCGTGCATGCATTTTGCCGTACATCATGATGTACGCGCTATAGAGCTTCTTTTCCGGTGTAATTTGAAAATTTATAAAAGATAGTTTTCAATAAGCAATAGTTATTAATTTCAAAAATCTACAACCTTTATGTTTTTGCTGCCTTGTCAATTTTTTTTTATCAGAGATCTTTTTCTCGAGAAATTTGGATTTGAGAAACAGTTTTTAAAACACTACATCAAATTAGATGATTTATGTAAAGTTGCGTTTGTGTTAAATTATCCAATTTTTGCTCACAATGCTTGTAATTATTGAAGTTTGCTCTTCAGGCATTTCTTGTTCGTTCTGTGCATACTTTTTTAAGGAGAACTGTGGCTTTGCTTTGTTCTCCGTATCACTTTCTTCATTTCTTTTTTGAAGTCTCCCTATAGGGGACGTGGTCCTTCGAAACTCTACACTGAGAGAAAAAATGTTGTATAATCATTGAAAACGATAATAATTCAAAGGGATTCAAATATGTTTTGGCGTCATTGGTGTGTCCCATTAAATTAATAGGTGTATAACAATTGTATAATACATATCTTTTTAAAACAACATTGAGAAAGGCAATGAAATAAATAATTTCTTTTTGTATATATATTTTAAAGAGAGTACACTTTAAATGTGTTTAAAAACATTGTAAAACTGTTGGTAAATGAATATAAAACTACAAATTTTTCTATTTGAATCAAATTTACCCGATTATTTAAATTAATATAATTTCATATGCTTATCATGACATGATATTTCTCTGAGTGTAAAGCCGTTTAAAATTTTATACTGAAAACACTAGTTTTCACGTTAAATGAGAAAAATGAGGAATTTTTAGCAACTACAAATCCGTACGTCTTGACAATTCTAGAACTTTAAGGTTAATATGCCTAAAAGGTTGCATACACGAGTAAAACCTCGTAAACCGCAGCAAGGCGAGCATTTTGTTTGGATTTTTGCATGCATGAACGCTCGCACGAATGCTTGAAACGTGCGCGGCACGTGTGATCACCGTAACCTTCTTTTTAAGACAATCAATGTTTTACTTTATACTTATAACAATGCATATTTAACAAAATAAATAAATTAACTTTCTATCTTTTTACAAATCGTAGAACTTTTGAACTACAATTTGGCTTTAAGAAAATGAAAAACGTAACCTCCATTAGTGTTTAAAGGCGAGAGGTATTACCTAATTATTTTTAGTCATTTTATGCTAGTAAGCGATATAATAATAATAATTTGCCTAAATAAAATGTCTGTCGAAAATGTTGCTAATAATAAGTACAAATAAAATTTTAATATTTTTTTTTTTTTAATTTTAAATATTTTAGGATTAATTAAAGATTCTCATGACGGTTTTATTTTTAATTACAGCCTGAATCCGTTGAGATCAACTTAACGTAGAAGATATTTACGTTATGTTAATATTTATGTTATTTCGCGTTATTTTTAGAACATGCATCTTTATGTTGCACATAATTTTTTAGATTAGTTATTCCATTGTTTATAAAACACTTCCTATATTTTGTTCCATTTTACTATCAAATGTTATGTTTATTGCTAATTAACCTTTATTCTATTTGTGATTTATCAATTTTATTTCCAGGTTCGTGGTGCTATTATTAATAGGACTGTGGGCAAATTCGAGCGGGGTAAGTCAAAGATTATTAACCACCTGTTAGGGCAATAAAGCCATAAGTCACTCCGCGACAGGGTGCCAATTTATTATTAGGGAAATCTGTGTCGTTCTCATAAACGTTTTAAGTTTTTTGAAACTATACAGAGTGTCCTAAATGTTTAGCTTTAGAAATATTTTTATTTTAGTCAATTTTTAACTACAGGGTGTTTCATAATATATGCGCAGGACTTCAGGATGTGATAGCTCAACCAAAAAGATGAAAAAAGTCGCTATTAACTTACCCTCTAAAATGCACAATTTTCGAGATACAGGGTGTTGAAATTTTAGAAAACAAATCGTTTTTTTCGATTATCTCTGGAACCGTTTATCGTACAAAAAACAGCTGTTTTGTGCCAGAAAAAAAAAATTTTTACTCATAATTGGTGGAGATTTTGAAGGGGTAGCGGGTGTTTTTCACCTCAACTTCTACGCCCCTGAAAAAAGTACGGTTTCGAGAGGCCCATTCAAACCGCCAATGTTTTCTACACAAAAAAGGTACTCTTGGTCATAAGCTCTAAAGTTGACCGTTTTCGAGAAAAATCAACTTTTATATTTAAAAACATGGTCAATTTTTTGAAAAATTTTTTTTATAGAATATTATATATTATATATATTTAAGTAAAAAATGCTTAAAAAAGCTGTTTTTTGTACGATAAACGGTTCCGGAGATATTCGAAAAAAACGATTTTTTTTCTAAAATGTCAACACCCTGTATCTCGAAAATTGTGCATTTTAGAGCGTAAGTTAATAGCGACTTTTTTCATCGTTTTGGATGAGCTATCACATACTGAAGTCCTGCGCATATATTATGAAACACCCTGTATAACTTATTGAAAGTTCATTTACAAACGGTTTGGAAAATGATCAAAAACAGACTTTACGACTTTACTTTCTATAGAAAGTGATCTCTATGAAAAGCTTGCTTTCTATAGAGAACATTTTCTATAGAAAGAAAACTGACAAATTTTAAGAAATCCCCCTGATAAGTACAAATGCTTTATTTATCCATCTTGAATTCTGTTCAGGAAGTTTTATAAGTTTAAAAAATTGTTTGTTATATAAAAAGGTGTCGTCTTCTAAATTTAACCAAAAAAAATTGTGTGTGCCTCACTTTCAGGGCCGGATTTACATTATTAGGGGCCATAAGCAAAAGTCAGAAAGTTTTACTCACCTTATCGTTTTCTACTCGTCAAACCCTTTTATTAGATACTCATGTCAAGTAGGTTGTGAAAAAACAGGTAGTCCATCTAACGGCGACCGCCATTTTGGATTGATTTATTCCCATCTTTCTCTTACACATGCACAGCCACTTTAATAAATGACGTAACCTCTGCGACTGGCCCATAAAATTCTGTAAAACCCATCTTCGATAGCGGTAGTTATATAACAGCAAAATAAATGACAAGCTCTGCTTCTTCATTTTTTTCTGATACTTATGGGCGTTTAAAATCTTTTCAATTCCTGCTTCGAAAATATAAATAAAAAGGTTAAACTTTGCAAACGCTCCGTATATCTTCTAATGCTCCATGAATGGAGTGCCATCGGTGTGGACTTCAATAAAATATGTTAAAGACTTGTTAACACATAATAAAAATTACAAAATTGTAATGTCAACCTCCTATGGCGCAACCAAAGACCATAAATCAGGAAAACTTGGCGTAAATTGAAGTAGAAACGACCATTTGTATAGGATATAATTAAGCTATTAATTTCATTGCATCCAATTTGTAAAAGATGATTTTTGGTTAATATTATGTGTGAATTCATCCTAAGGGTTTATATGGGGGGTACATTTTGTGGAGAAATTATTTTTTACCTTTTTAACAGCATAACTCATCTACATAATATAACTTAACCCTTTACGAGTACAGTGTATTTACTAGTTAAGGACCAGTATCTGTTTTAACAGCCTTTATTGACAAATCCGTGCACAAACAAAAGTAAGCTTCTTCGCCGACTTTATCCACACTAGTTTAACAAGTTGTGATTTTCTCTACTCCCACTGCGCAAAATTAAACAAACAAATACTTTAGAAATAGGACTCCTTGCATGTGGACAATTGAGTTTTCTATTTAAGGGACTTTAAATATTTCAAAAACGTGTCGGAATGTATTTTAACTCAGCAAACCGAATAATTCGAAATACTGTAAATTTTGGCCATTACTTCAGAAAATTTACGAACGTGCCTTAACTTTTATTGAGAAAATCTTGATTTAAACACTGTGGTTTTTTGAAATTATGGTATATTCAAATATTTGCTTTTGCAGGCATTTTTGAAAAAATTGTTTTGGATTTATTTATTATTAAAATATTAGCAAAAAGCTCTTATGATAATTTATGATGAAACCTAAATTATAAGTTATTTATGTCATAACGAAACACAAAAAGACACTTTTAAGCCAAATGGCATACTCTCTAAAAATGAATTAGTCAAAAATGACTAATTTAATAGTTATTAGTGGCTGCTTTTTCACTTGTACCATGGTTAACCATGGAATACCATGGTATCCCAAAAGTTAACATTCTTATGTAAAATTATCTCAAAAACTGCTCCACAATTTTTGACGGTATTTTCGGATTCAGGGGAAAATTTTATAAAAGAATTGGCTGTTAAATTTTGTGATACCATGGTATTCCATGGTTAACCATGGTACAAGTGAAAAAGCAGCCATGTCTTTAATAGTTATTAGTGCACTAATAACTATTAAATTTTTCACTAATTCATTTTTAGAGAGTACAATGTTTTATCTTTAAGGCACAATTTTATTTGTTAAACGATACACAAAACATACATATAATAATAATAGGTAGAAAGTGAGGTTAGGTAGATCTGACATTAATCGAATTTTTTTATTGGAGAGATAATTTTATTTATTTGAATGGTCTAAATTATTTTTACATGCTGGGCGTGTTGATAATGATAAAGTTTAAATAAATTATATAACGCTCGAAGATAATAGTATATTACGTATCAAGGGAATTTAATTAAGGCACGATCAATGAAAACTAGAAAACTTTATTTGCATACTATACTTTTTCTACGACAAATAATTATTATTATCTAAAATTGATTTAAAGCGACATCTAGAAAACAATAGAGTAACCAACTTGGGAATCTGTGTTACCGTCAAATGTCAAATTTGTATATGTTATAAATCGAAAAGTATCGCTTTAAAATGGATTAACAACAGTTTTTCACAGTGAAAGTAAAAAAATGTTTTATGAGCACTTTACGGAGGAGACCAACCCCGAAATTAAGTTTTCTGCCGGTGAAATTAAAAGGTCGGTACAATGTTCATATAAACTTTTTAAATATTGGCGTTAAGAAACTATTTAATATTTTTATATTTTTTTATTAAGATAATAAAATAATTTTTAAATTTAGCATTGTTTTACAATATTTAATGATTGTATGACATTTGACAACTGTTAAGTAACTTAAAACTAACTTCAGTCCGTGACTAAAACGCCATAAAGCCACAAATTGTGAATGTGTATTTAAACAGTCACTTAGTGTCATGGAAACATGTACGATAATCGGCATTTTAAAGGTGGGAGTAGAAAAACACATATAAATTTCACAAGTATTTGCTTAACTATTTGTGGTTTGTAAGAGAGAAAGACAAATTTAGGGCAGCGATTTAAAATGTGCTATGGGAGGCTAAAAGTCATATCTATGGAAAGATGAAAGAGATTTATAGGAGACCGCTCGTTCGGCACTACACATGACATGTGTATCCACAACTACCGCATGCGTCTTTGTTGATAACAATTTAAAACTAATTACCGGCTTTTCAGATATATTTTAAGCTTAATTTCATGAAATAACTATTTACTAATTGCATTAGCATACAGAGTGTTTCCTAAGTCTAATTCCAAAATATAATGTTTAAATTATGTTATCTCCCATTGATAAGCTGTGATTTTATGGCGTTTTAGTCACGGGCTGAAGTTATTATAAATTGGGAAAAAGTGAGGTTAAATTCGTTGACAGTTGACAGAGGTCAAATTTTTAAAAAATAAAATTGTTCAAGTATAAGTTCTTTTTTGTGTTCGTCGCAGATCTCGCAGACACTCGTTTTCATTAAATACTAGCTCGTACCTAATAAAACTGGTAACTAAAATGACGTTTATAAAAATTATTACATAATATAAGTACCTACTATTATAATATTAAATCATATTTTTAGTATAAATATTTTAAACTTTCTTATGATTGATTAAAATGCATATACATATGCATAACACTGCTTCTACAAATTTGGAAGCAAATCCAAGTTAAAATTACTAATAATTTTCTCCCACTTGAGTAAACGTTAAAATTATATACCGTCCCACATTTAATTCATCCTACGTAATAACAAATTATGCACAAGTGTCTTTCCCAGGTTATATTTTTAATATTTATTTATTGTCAATCACCGGTTTAACTGATAAACACAAGTCCAAATATGGCGTAGCTTACTATAAGCTTAATCATTTTTGGTTATGTTGCAATAAAAACGGTGCAGCGATTTCCAAAAATGGAAAGGCGCTTTAATATATGATTATTTTAGCAACAAATGGGTTAATAGGTGTATTATTTCTATTAATAAAACTAAAAGGTCCCAAACAACTTATACCAGGAACGTTGGTAACTATATTTGGTAAATAAGTAACAAGTGGTATTTTGTACCTTTACAATAAACATAAATGTAAAAAAAAACTTAAAATTATTTTTCCGGCAATAATAGATTATTAATAATTGGCTGAAACGCACACACGTGACTAAAGTTTCTATTGGTGTTTAACAACTATCAAAACCTTATCAAAGAAATCAACTAAATAAAAAATCAAATCATTATAGCTCCCGAGTCGTAAATGCGTAGCTTTTATTAAGGCTAGTAGAGAAAAAATCAGTAATTTAGAACTCTTAATCCAAGATTTATTACGCTTAAGCGCTTAATACTAAATATTATGACAGAAGGGATTTAT